AAAAGAGCTGGAAATGGAAGGAGAAATGTGATGAGAAAGCTATGGAAAAAAAATGGCCTACCCTAACCCATTTCCTGAAGGGAAACGAAGGGAGGACATTGTGAATCTCCACAGAGGTGAAAGGGATCCCAAGGACCATTTAGCCGAACCTTCTGCAGCATATAAGAAAACCATTTTAAACCTTCCCTGAGAAGTGGCTGTCAAGCCTCCTTTTTCAATCTTCCAGAGATGGAGAACCTGTAATCTTTCGTCCTTCAGTGAAATTGTTCAAAGTTTTCACTATTGATGGTGTGGAAGTAGCAGCAACTCCCCCCCCCTCCCATTTAACGAATCAATGTTATGTTATGGCTCTGTCTGTCTTTGGCAATAGTAAACCTCCGTTCTCTTCCCTATCTAGCCCTTTCCCAACCTCAGTGGGAACTCTGGGCGTTGAGCTTCAACACCTTTAAAGGGCTAATGAAGAAAAGCTGCTTAGCCTTCCCAAAACAGGCCTCGCAGACAGTTGACCACTGAATTGCAAAAACTCGGCCTGGTTTTTATTTATCTCTTCTTTCATGAAGAAAGAGGCAATAAATACAACCTGAGTCTACCAGGCTTCGTTTCAGAATCTATTACCCCCGGATATTAATCACACGAAGAAAGATCCTCCTACAGGTATTTTCCATATTATATACAGTAAAGAATTCTGGACTGTACTACTTCAAAGTGTAGACAGGAGAAGTGCCAAACTTTCAATGCTGCCATGTAAGAAATTCCATGTATATAGTAAACTAGCAGGCAGAGGGGAAAGGCCGCCATATAAACATATCTATTCACACATCATAAAGTGGTAGAAACTGGATGAAACAACTACACCATTTAGGACTTTCTACCACGAAAGCTCCCTTGTTCAGGGTACCTACTCTGTAACTCAGTCAAAGACATGTTTACTTAGAAGACTAAAATCCTGGCCACTCCCTCCTGATGCTGCTGCACCCACTGCAGATCTCTGGGATTTAAAAACCTAACAGTGTGGCTGTTGGCTGGGGAAGGATCACCCAACCTCCATCAGAGAGGGCCATTGGGAACATCTGGTGAAATGAAAATTGGACTCCGAGCAAGGCAGCTTTCCATATCCCACTCCTAAACTGGGTAGTCACAACAAATCTGTTTTAATCTATTCTTCCATTTTAAACTGGAGCGCAGACAGGTTGCAGCCACAAAGAATCAGCTGAACTGAAGCTGAGACTTTAGCCAGTTCTCTTTGCTTTGCCTGTTTGTTTTTGCAAAAAAGAAGGGGGGGGGCACAGCTCTCTGAAGCAATGCTCTCTGATCCACTGCTTTGTGTCAATGAACTCATCTTGCGTGCTGCTTTTGATTCCAAGTCAAAAGTCACCCTGTGTGGGCTGCCCCATAGACAACAGAGCAAGACTGTACAGTTTATGCTCCCTCCTATCCTTTTCCATTTCTACTCAATCATCCTTGCAATGCCACTGGCACCGAATCTATACAAGAGAAGCTTTTTTGTAAAGCAATGTCAGCTCAGACCTTTTTTCCCTATAATGAGAGAATCTAGTTTCTAACGGCCAATATTAGTGTTTTACAGCCCTTTGCACAACATCTTGACGCACAAAAGTTAACAGTGTATCCAGAAATGCATGCCAAATACAAGCTTGACTCAGATGGATTAAATATGTTTTTTTGATCCATAGGATCTAGTAAATTTACATTACCCAGAAACCAGCTGCAGATCTTATGTGCAAGAAATTCTTTTGACCACACTGTCCCTTAATCTGGTATATATTATGATATTTCCATCGTCCTAGCAATCAGTTTGTAGCCTTTAAATAAATCATAACATATTCAACATTTCTCCAAAATTTCACATTCACTTCCACCCAGAGATTATAGATCAAACTTGAACGTTCCAGAGAAAGGATTCACCAAGATTTTCTTCTTGGGGATCATCTACACATTCCCCCCCCCTCACTGGGCCTCAGTGGGACCTCACTTTTTTTTAAGGATGTGCCACTCTTGCACATTTTTGGTCTCATCCATAGACCATAGCCGAGGCCACCTGAGCATATTTCACTGACCTGATTAAAGTGGCATTTCCCATCTTTTCCCAATACAAGTATTGCTGTAAACACAAACTGTCGTGTTTTGTTATGGAGATGACGGAACAGGGATTGGGGGTCTACCCAGCTCCTTTTAGCTTCAGAGCACACTTCTTCCTCTCTAATCCCTGGTGGTGAAGTAGGGGTCCATGGCCATTTCAGCTTAGCAACAGGAACACCCAGAAACTGGATACAAAATGCTGGCTTCTCATTAACCCAGGTAGCTCCAACTTACCTGATCAAGCAACGTGCAGAGTAGAGTATGAGAATTTACCCAGCAGGGTTTCCCAGAATCCCTGACAAAAAGCAAGAGATCAAAAAGTGATGGAGTCAGCAAAAAAAGAAAAATAAGACAGAAAAGAGCAGTGTGTGAGAGACAGATGAGCAGGAGAGAACAGAGGTGAGAACCGGGGAGAGATGAGGCAAGCAACAGAGTGAAAAGAGCAATTGAGTAGGTAACGGAGCCAGAGGGCTGATGGAGAAATGGATGGTGTGAGTGATTGTGTGTGTGTGTGTGTGTGGCCTTATGGAGAGGAAGAAAGCATATGAAATCAAATGTCTGGATGTGCCCTCAGTATGAGCATTTCAAGGATATAAAAGATACGGTTTGATCAGTACTAGTGGGAAATGATGAGGGACATCTAGAGCTATAGCTTTGACTGGGTAATCAAGCAAAACTCCAAGATAGCAATGGAAAATTTTCCATGCTGTCTTTAGTTTGTTCTGATAGATGTACTGTATATCCCAACACTCCCACATTCCATTATTTTCAACAGCCGTGTAAGATATGTTGGGCTAAGAGAGGGAGTGACTGGTCCAAAGTCATCCTGGGAACTCTGAAGGTAAGGTGGGTCTCGACCCTCTGCCTTCGTAGGGCAGGCCCAAACCCTTTGCCAAGAAAACTTCCTCACCAGGAGATCAGCCGAATTCAAAGGAGGTTGCATAGTTATTGGGCTCCTTCACAAAACTGGTTGGTGCTTTATGTCAAGGATTATCACAGCTCAACTTATTACATAATCATTCTTATCTGTAAGGCACATAGAGCAGCCAGTACCTTACATATGGTTTGGATTACAACTCCCATGAGTCTCAGCCAGCAGATTTTCTTTAAGGAATTGTGCATTACTGAAATTCTTGTCCATCATTTCTGGAATGAGCAGATTGCCTCTCCTTAAGACTTATATCCAATAGGGATCTTTCTACTAACAGAAGAAACATTGCTGACAAATTAGGAATCCTCTGGAGTGTATGTGAAGTGTAAGTACTTGCATATATTGGATATTCACCTCTTAAGTCTGGGTCATTGCTCCCTTAATGGGAAATGACTTTTAATTGCAATGCCATTTTTTTTTTCAGTTCTCCCTGACATTTTAACCTATTGCTTGCTGCCCTTAAAAGCAGCAGGAATATCTTGTAACATTCCAGGGAAAATGGAAAGATTTCATCTGATTCAGTTATAAAATGTACCCAGTTCTGCTTGACCGTAGTTCACTGTCAACAATGTTCACTATTGCTAGTTCACAAATATACATCTGTGGTGTTGCATTACATATTAGCCATGAAATAGATTTTTTAAATTACTCTTATCAAAGCTCTCAAAAGCATTCATATATGCTGTTGGCAAGGTTTATAGATTTTAAGTAGCATGGTACATTATGTTTTACTGCGGGCTAGGAATCTTGTTCATATTTGCTCAGAATTAAAATCTGCTGATTTAAATGGTATTTGTTTTCAGATAGGTGGGCTGCTCCCATTTCTCAGCTGTACAGCAGGGAAAAATGTATGGGACACTCTGCAGGAAGATTAAATCAGGGAATATTGTAAAAATTATTGGACTCATTCTTCCTTTTTACATAAATGAAAACAACAGGCAATCAGCACAACTCATCCCTGCCTATTGCACCTAAGATTGCTGTTTGGAAATGTGCATATTAGGAGGGCTCAGTACTCAGCATGCATACTTCAGGCCCCATAAATGTTATTCAGCACTGTGGCCCTTTTGCAATCTGTGGATTTCAACACCCAGAATTCTTGAGCCAGCATGGCGGGCTAGGGAATTCTGGGAGTTGAAGTCCACAGGTCATAAAGGGAGCCATAGCTGCCCACTCCTGACTGAGGGTCTTCAGTTAAAAGTGTGGGAGAAGCTCTAGAGCAGTGGTGGCAAACCTATGGCACACAGGTGCCAGAGGCAGCACTCAGAGCCCTCTCTGTGGGCACGCGCACCGTTGCCCCAGTCCTAGGCCTTCAGCTGGGTTTTATAAAACGTTTTCGCTTTAGGGCTCTGCCGCTGTGTAGAAAAAAAAAAAAGGTTCAGTCAATCAGTCAATTTCAACTTCTTGCAGGGAAAAAAAGATCTTGCAAAGTTGGAATTGATTGATTGAACTTTTTAGTTCCATCCAGTCTGCTGTTACCACCGCAGCCACACCCACCCAATGGGCCACACCCACCCGGCACCTGACGATGCATAAGTGGGTTTTGGGTTGCAGTTTGGGCACTCGGTCTCTAAAAGGTTCGTCATCACTGCTCTAGAGCAGGGGTAGGCAACCTTGTCCACGAGTCATAAAAGAGCCAAGGTTGCCTACTCCTGCTCTAGAGAATCAATCCAAGTACCAATTTTACTTGGTAAAGATAACTTGTAACCTGCCCATTCCCCAAAATCTTGTACTGTGGAATGAGCAGAAAACATAAAGAGCTAGATAGATGAAAGGCCTAGCTAGTTCATCCTTGTTTTCACCGCAGCCATTCAGGTGGTAATCAGAAATCTACAGATTATGGACCTCTGATTCTTTCACGGAACCTACATACATGATGTATCTCTGATTCGTATTTTAAACAAATCCGTAACGGACTTTCTGCTGATAACATCATCTATATACTGAATGGAAACAATATGGGATTTATTTAGAAAATAAGAGTCTGTCTTCAACGGTGCTGAGCAAAAATGGATGGAAAACTCAATTAAAGAATTAACCTGGGGAAGGAATTGTCTTTTCCTTTGGAGTGGGAAGAATTTCCTTCCCTTAAGGAGGGAAAAAAAATCTGTTGAGTGTCTAATGGCAAGTGTTGGCTCCATTCAGGAACGCCTACCCCGGGGCCACAAGTGACCGTATATGCGAGGGAACTCGGAGCGGTGGTTCCTGCTGATGTCCTCGCTTGTAACTCTCCAGATTGGCAGTGAGGGACAAATAAGAAGTTAGCCACATGGAATAAAACACGAAGGGAGGGGAGAAAAGAGCTGCTGTGATGAGATCAGAAGAAAGAAAAGTTTAAAAGGGAGGGGAGGGAGAGGGGGGACAACAGCTCAGCAGAGAAGGGAAAGAGCCTCATATAAAAGCATGAGACACACGCAACGAGAAAGCCAGGCTGGACGGAGAAGGGGAGCCCGCCCTTCGGTGCGGGCACCAGCATTGCTCTCTCTCTTCGCCACCCCAGCACCAGCGGGTCAGGGAACAGGCTGGGCTCCAGTTTCCCCCAGGCTCTCACCCGAAGATTTCGACCGTCCCGTCAGACTGGACTTCCCTCTCGGCGGCGGATCATCCCCGGAGACTAAGAGGCTGAGAGGAGCCGCGGCCGCTGCCTGGGAAATAGCCCCGGACTGGCCGCGGCCGTTAGTAGCAGCAGGGAAGGGAAGACCAGGAGACCCGAGGGGGTGAAAGTAGGTCCGGGAGCATTAAAAGGAGGCTCGGGACTCGCCCTCAAGCGGAGCGGAGACAAGGCGGGAAAAACTTTGCGCGGGGCTCCTAACATGACACGAGCTCAGCCTGCACTGACAGCCAGCCGCTCTCAGGGCTAATGGGCTGAGGAGAAAAGCGGCCCGCGACTGAAAGCGCAACCTGGAAAGTGCGAGCAAGAGCAGCGCAGCGCAAAGGCTTCCGAAGGCTGCGAGCGGGGGGGGGGCTCTCTGAAAGGACCCTGGTGGCGGGTCTGGCTCTCCTGAGAGACAGTGGGGCGAATTCATCCGGGAGGCGAGGCGGGGAAAGAGCAGAAATAAACCTTCCTGGCGCGGACTTCGCGGGAAGGGGACCGACTCCTCCAAGCGGGGTTCTCCCGCTCGCCGCCAGCAGGGGCGGACGCCGCCCGCCCCTTTCACGGTGCCTCTGCAGACAGGCCGAGCATCTATAACCCCCAGCGCCCCAATTTCTCCCTAAGTGCCGGCCCAGCGGGCCTCTGCTGCTCCCCCCCCCCACACACACACAACCCGAGGGCTGCCCGGCCACGTCTCTTGGCTCGCGGGGCGCGCTCGGAGGCGGGGGAGAGAGAGAGAGAAGTCCGCGGCAGCCCCCCCCCCTTCCCCAGCGTGCGGCCGCTTTTGCAGGCGGGCAAGACCCCATGCGAGCGCCGGGCTGCAAGCGCAGCAGCAGCGACCCCTGCAGCCCGACCCGTCGGACGAGCGTCCTCAGTGCTCCTTCGCCGCCGTCTCGGAGACCTCCTCCCATCCCGAAGTGGCTCCGCCGTGGTGGTGGCGGTGGCGCGGCGGCGGCGCTGCCTGCGACAACGCTTCCTCTCCTGCTGGCCCAGTCGATCCCGAGAGCGGCGCTCCTGGCGCAGGAACTCCTGCTCTCGACTCCTTAGCGGCTGGGCCGGCGGCGGCGGCGGCGGCTGCTCCTGCTCTCCTTCCTCCTCTTCTTCCTGCTGCTCAATTGCCGCCGCCGCCGCCGCCGCCGCGGAGCCCTAAAGCCGTCCTCTGCAGGAGGATGGTGCGTCTAGCGGCCGAGCTGCTGCTGCTGCTGGGGCTCCTCCTGCTTACCTTGCACATCACGGTGCTGCGAAGCAGCGATCCCGAAGCGCCGCCGGGCAACCACAGCCAGCGTCAGCAGGTGAGAGCGCGCAGCGAGGCTGTGCTGTAAAAGCCACGGGCTCTTGAGCTTCCCCCCCCCCCCGGTCCTTCATTTCCCTTGGAGCCATCCCGCCACCGGCAAAAAAAAAAAAAAAAAAAACCCTCAGGGCTTCCAGCTGGCGAAAGCATTCGTAAAGCGCGCCTTCGAGGGAAGCCGCCTTTGACCCACTTCGTACAATTCCTCCAGCGAGCTCGCCTGGAGCGGCTGGCTCACTTTAGGATACTTCTCAGCTTAAGCACCCACAATTCCCAACCATGGAGGGCTGTGTTGGGAAATCTGGAAGCTAGACCCAACTCTCTCTAAGAGTTTTTCCCATTACCTCTTAACGGCTCTGTTGAATTGGAATTTGCCAAGAATTGAAGGCAAGGTTCCCCCCTCCCCCCAATGTTTGTGCAGGTTGGAAAGAATTGAGGTTGAAGTCCTGTAGAATCTTGCCCATCTTCTTTTGTGCCATTAAACTGCAATTCTTAAGGATTGTACCTTACACCAGGCCTGTGTACAAAACCTTACTAATTTTCTGTCCTGTATATTTCTCTTTTCCTACATTAGTTTGTCAGGTATATTTCAATTTGTTCACCCTTGCATTGAATGCTCAAAGAGCTTTTGTTTCTTGGTCCTGTATCTGACCTCCACATGCTCATTTCAAAGTCTGGATATGGACCTTTCTTGGGGTGGAGAATTGGCACTTCTCACATGCTGTTGGCTCCTATGGAGTAGCCTTCAAATTTTCCTGATTTTAAAACCTATTTGCCTGAGATTTCTTTCACTCATTGAAGGCTGTATTCACAACTTTCCTAGTCTTCTTGAAGTAAATTCTTTCCCTGTCCTGCTGCCCCATAACTCGTCACTGAATGAATGAAAAGGACCCAGTATATTTTTTTAAAGCACTTTTTGATTAATGCTTTTTACTCATTGCAATGTAAACAAATTACATACTTTATGAATAAATGGCATTAGTAATCCAGTATAGACCAAAGGATCTAATGAAATAATGGCCAAATTCACATTTAACAATAAGCCAAAAAGAGTATTTATATTAGGACACGAACGAGCATGGAGATTATTTCCACCATTCTTTGTACCATCAAAATGAGGAAACCAGGCAGGCGTAACTTTGCATGATGCACAAATGTGAGGTCATGATTTATTATGGTTAGTTGAGCTACTATTTATGGATCAAGAATATACCCTGGTTTGAAGTTGTGATTGCGGATTGTTTGGGCAAATAAGAGACTATAAATTTAGATGTCCTATCATGCCATATTATACTTGTCTAATTGTTTACTTGCTTCCTTGTTTACATTAGTGTTCTCAAAGCTTCCAAGTTGTTGGGGTTAAAGGTCACAGAATTCCCAAGGAGACCTGTTTTGACCCCTTCTGTTTGGAATTCTGGGAACTGTGGTTCCAGTCAATCATTTATTTTTATTTTTTTTATGATTGTAAGCCACCGAGAGTATAGGTGGCCAATACATTTTATACATAATATATATTTATTCTATGCCTATACTACCCACCCCAAATATCCCCTGGTCTCTTCTACACCATAAAAACATTTGGGGAAATATTAAGTAAGAATACATTTTTGCTGCGAAAGTATTTCTTCTGAAAGGAATTAACTTCAGATTAAAAATCTGAAGGGAATTAACTTTAGATAATGTGCTTGGTTAGGAAAAGCTTCCTCTCAAAGACACAATCCCTGGACAAAATAACTTTCTATTTTCTTTCATAGACATTTACCCTTGTCATCTCTGCTAAGCACAGAGCAGGTGGATAGTTGATATCGGTCTTTGTTCTAGTTAGAACACATTCAAAAATCACACATTTAATTTGGTGACATTATAAATATATTTGAGAAGAGAAAAGGAGCTTTTCCAGATTTCAGATTGCAGTAGTTCTATGTTTTTGACTTATGGCCAAGAAATGAACCCAGAAGACAGTGTCCAAGTTCAGCTATAATATAAAATTGAGAAAAGCAAAAGTGGTAGAAAATATCCATTATGCAGTGAACATGAGTTCCTTCTTAGTTGTTCAGTATCTCTTGAGCTGTTCGGCAGTTTGGATTTAAAGTCCAATAGCTACTTCAGAGCATGCAGGAGTTCAGAGGGCAGCTACACAATCAAAGGAAAAGACATAACTCTTGAAAGAGTTGCAAATATGTCAGAATGTCAGGCACTCTGGAACATCTTTGTGCCTCTGATTGCAAAGTGCAGCATTGCAGGAACATCCATGGATGATAGATGGGCAACAAGCAGTGGCATCTGTGGGTGGGACAGGGTCGAGGATGTCAAAATGTCTACAGTTATGACTGTTAACTGTTGTAGAGCCCTCTCTCTCTGTGTGTGTGACGATGCATGTACAAAATGGATGAGGCTTTGGTCATATAGGTGGGATCACTATGATTTTTTAAAACCTATTCTTCCATGGATGCATAGAGCACTGAACACTTACGGATATAACAGGTATCTCCTCAACCTTCCCACATTCATTAGGACAAGGGTTCCCAACCCCCGGGCTGTGGACCAGTACCGGGCCACGGCATGCCAGCACCTGGTCCACACAAACAAGCAAAGGCCCATCCATGAGATGCAGGCAGCACACAAAACCACGCACCCTCCGGTCCGCGGAAAAACCTCTCTCCATAGAACCGGTTCCTGGTGCCCAAAAGGTTGGGGACCTCTGCATTAGGACATCCATTGAATACCCCTTATGCATACAGCTACATGTCTGCAAACCACTTCTTCCCTTGACATGCATTGTTTTCTCATGACGTACTGAACAATTCAACGATTGATAGAATTGATCATTTGTATATGCAAAGAATTCTTATACCAATCCAACTTAAGTTGCATCCTGCATCAAATTCTCTAGATAATTGGTATTATTGGTGGATAAAATGTGTAAGAGGCCTGTGATAGTGACTGAAATGTTGGGGGACTGAGCTTAAGAGGCCCAACACTTAGGAAATTCCTAAGCTACTGTTGCCCACCATAATTCAAGCCACAAAGGCAAGCTTGCTGACCTTCATGGAGGTTTTAATTTTTGTGATGTAAAAGGAATGTAGGGGTGCCTTTTCTGTGCATCAGTACAACAGAACATCTCTCCCCCTGAGTAAACTGTGTAGCCAGAAAATGTTATCTGCACATTTACGACAGATCTTTGGCTATTGAAACACATGGACAAATTTAAGGCTGCAAATTAATATGAATGAGAATAAGTTACTTTTTTCCTAGCTTGTTCCAGATAATCTTACAGTGTGTTTCCATAACAGAAACAAAGGTACAAGGAGTATGAACTGCCAGGGTTTATTGCCAGGGTTTTTCAAGCTGTGACTTTCCAGGTGTCTTGTTGAAAGCTTCCATAATTTCAAACCACTGACCATGATGGGTGAGTGTGTGAAATTAGTAAACCCAAAATTCTAAAGGAAACAAGATTGGAGAACACTTTTTCAACACTCTTTGTTGTATATAAAAGATGATGAGCAGAGGAAAGGGAATCTACCAATCAGGTGCTTCCATAAGAGGCAAAGAAACCTGTAAAAATCCACTCCCAACAAATTGTTTAAGCAGATTGAAGAAAGTAGTTGGAAAGTTTTTAATTATTAAATATATTTGTATCCACCAGAATCAAAAACATATTTCAGTAACTCATGTGGAAAAATACAATATAAAACAAACCCCATACAAAATTAAAAGTAAATCTTATTTTTGATTGATTTAAGAGAAATTCTTCATACACGCTTATATAATTACTGCAATTTTCTTTATGGAGACTAGGCTATTGAACAAAGTTTGTCATATTCTTAGCAGACCAGGCATTTGTTTCATATATTATATAAAGAAAGGGCATTTATGGAGAAAATCTGAGAAACACCTGTATTTGGAGTGACTTTATCAGATTTACCTCTTGCAAAATCTGGAGCCGCTCCATTATGTATGATCTTCTGATTCAGAAATAGAATTTTCTGTCCTCTTAATGGCCTAGAATATTTCCTTTTACCCCATGATTGTGTTTTAAGATGTGTTTACTTCAGGGATAGGAAAATTGAGCAACAACCATTTGAAGGACTTCTTGCCATTGTGTAGCATCGAGTATTCCTGATTTAAGAATTTTCTTCCTATGATGCACAGCATTTGTTTATTATATTTATGAATGTTTATAAAAGAGTGAACTAAAGATGATTGTGCATTGTTTTAATTTGGGATATTTCTGAATTTACCTTTCTTAATAGAGAGAAGCAGCTGAGCTAATGAAAAGTCCAAATGAAGTTACTTCCTGAAGGAATTGCTTTATAAGTATCAACCAGGGAAGTTTAGGAAAACTGACTATCTAGTTCTAAAGGCAGGTTCTGTTTAACACAAGGATGTATACACAAATTTCTGACTTCATGAAATCTCTCCACTTTCTCATAACAGTTTCTATTAAATTGACCTCCTGCCCTTAAACAGCTTTGAACATCTGATCCAGTGTATATATTTCATATATTCTGCCATGTGTAGCAATTCAGAGTTACAGGCTTTCTAACTTAATTGATTTCACAGCTCTGAATTTTGGAAAAGCCAAAACTTGAAAACATTAAGGACAAAAAATATATTGGATGTCACAATAAGCAGTTAAACAGATGGAAGTGTAAGGGCAAAGTTGTTTAGCCAAAAAAAAAAAAAAAAAATACAGTAACCTGTATCCAATCTATATTTTACAGTGCAAAATAAAATGATTTCTGAAAAAAAAAAAGTTAATTGAGTTGTTTAGATATTGCCCTAATGAATTTTACTCTTTCTTAAATTTTTCCTTCTACCTTCTTGTTCCATGCCGTAACAATGTGCTCATCTGGAATGTTTCTTTAAAAATGTCTGTAGAAAGAAACATTTTTGATCTTGCAGACAGTAAGTCAAATGAGTAATGGTTTTAGCTGGCTGGCAAATGTTCCACCTGAAATGGTATTCAATTTGATTTACATAGTATTGGGAAATGAATGTATC